TTTTAAATAGAGACGGGGTTTCACCATGTTGACCATGATGGTCTCGAACTCCTGATCTCAGGTGATCCACCCATCTCAGCCTCCCAAAGTGCTGGAATTACAGGTGTGAGCCACCGTACCCAGCCGATATTATTTTCTTGTATGCCATTAGTAACAAGATGCACATTTTTGAAGAGCAACTTTATTATAAGTGAAAGGGAAAATTTAAAAATGGAAATGTGTGAATTTGTAAAGCACAACTTGCATATATCAAAGAAACTAAAGTTTAACTCAGCTTAGCTGAAGTAACTTTTCCAGCGTACAAGCCAAGAGTTTTCTTTCTTCTTCTCATTGTTTTGTCATGAAGCCTGAAGGATATTTAGGCAGATCCTATCCTTCATTCAAGTAGACCACTTTATCTGTTTCTCATAGCTGTTATTTGGACTTCGTTTTTCTCTCTGCCACCTTGCCTTACCTCTATGGCAGTTGAAGGCCTGTTTACCTCCTTTTAGCTGCCTACCATGGGAAGCAAAAGATTCCAACACTTCCAAGTTCCAGAGCCCTATTAGATGCCCGGTTTCCTACAGGAGGCATGTCCCCACTCTTCCTACTTTTCTGAGATTCTTTCTAGTAAACTCATTCCCACCCTTTATACTTTCCAGAGAAATGTTTTTTCCTTGGCTTAGGATAGAAAAATACTTCATCACATATATTCTCATCCAAGTAATCACCAAGGTTATTAAAAATTCATGTGCTGAATGATAGATAATTAAAAAGAAAGCTAACCCTTTTTCCCAGAGGAATATTTACATTTTCTGGTTTTCCTATACCAAATTTTCATCCATAGAGATTTGTGCCAAGAATGTTGGCAGGATTTATATCAATTACTGGTATTTTATGGGAGAAAATGAATGAAGAAGGAGTGTTCTGGGGAAGCAGTTATCCACTTTGTTTTCCTCAACTTTTTTTTTTCATTTTATTTCAGTCTTTGTTTCTTTTGGCTTTTCTTTCATTGGCAGTCTTTTTCCCTTTTATTTTTTGTTTTTACATTTAAAAGTGTCCTGCTCTGCTTCTAACTTTATTCTTTTAAACTAAAACTTACTCCTCAAAATACGGGGTCTTATGTTTAAAATATAGTTAAAAACATGTTAAAATTGTCTCTTCATGTTAGATTCAATTGGTGTCTTAGGGTGAAGTGAAGAAAGAAGGATGAAGAGGAAATTATCTCTTGGATTGCTCTCCAGGAAATCCTTCTGTATACTTTAAAAGTTCTTGTTCTTTTCTAGGAATCCAATGTGCTGATTGCTGCTAACAGTCAGGGTACAATTAAGGTAAGCTATTTAATATATCCCCATTTTAAACTCAGACCCATTTCTAGGCGGAAACAGGATTATGGAAATATACCACTGTACTGAACCTTAGAGATGATCCCAAATCATGGGTCTGTGTCTCCTTGCAAATGGCTTGATTTAAGGAAAAAGAATAGGTAGCTTACATCTATGGAGAAGATGACAGTACTTGTTGAGGTTGTATAGATGCTGGGTGGATTAATAGATGGTCACACTGAAAAACAGATGAAGACTGCCGAGCGTTCACTGTGAGTTAAGCACGATTTAGCTACTATTATGCCAGTACAACTATCCCACAGGGCTTTCAGTAGACAGAGCCCAAGATACACCAAGAGATACAAATACAGCAGAAGATGCTTAGACATCACCAGATTTAAACATATCTTGGTCTTATTTTAATTCTCTTCCTCATGGTTCTCTTTCTTCTCTTCCCTGACAAGTGGGTTTTTCCTCAGTTGTCAGAGGGGAAGAAAAGTTATTTTATTGTTCAGTTGAAAATTGATAGATGTGATTCAGGGAGCCTGTTCATACAAAAAAGAAAGAAAGAAAATTGACTGATGCATATATAGCACTTGTGCATGATACACTGGACAAATAAATCCTGAGATAAGCAGTGAACTTTCTAAACAAAACACTATTTTGGTGGAAGTTTCTAGTATATGGGTTTGACTAGCACTTATTCTGAGAGTACCTGTTTTTTCCACATATTCTCTGCTGATGTGGTAGAAATACTAAGTTTTTAAACGTAATGTGTGTGTTTCTCCTGCCATGTAGCATTAATTTTGCCATAGCTTCCTTAAACTCATCGTAAGTGGAGAAGGATCCAAGGCAGTAAATCCTACCCTAAACATTGTTCTACAGAGATGAAATGAGCAAACTTAATGCAGAAGAACTGCACTAATTTACAAGGTAGTCTCGTTTTTTAGGCAGCTAGTTTCTCTATTTGAAAAGCCTTTTTAGAGAACCACTGAGAGCTTAAATGAAAACAAGGTTTTGGGGTATTTATTTATTTAGTATTTTTGAGATGGAGTTTCGCTCTTGTTGCCCAGGCTGGAGTGCAATGGTGGGATCTCAGCTCACCAGAACCTCCGCCTCCCTGCTTCAAGTGATTCTCCTGCCTCAGCCTCCTGAAAACAAGGTTTTTAAACTGATCAATGTTTGTTACGTTCTGGAAGCCTCAAGCAAGATGGTAGAAGGTCTTGGAATATCTACGTGGCTTTCTGTAGTCCCTCATTATCTCTCTTATTCTCATGTCAAGGCATGAATTGAAAAGGTACACCTTACTCTTCAACAAGTTTAGCCTTTGCAGCAATTGGGATTGCTAACATACCTGCAAGAGCTCAAAACTACGTAGGTTCTCATAGAATCCCGCTGACAAATCTAAGATTTTGTTCAGCATCATTGACCTCTTATGTTAAGTACCCTGCTTACCTAATATAAAGACAAAAGCATTATGGAAGCATGTGTTTTAGTCAAGCCTTAGCTGAGCAGCAGGGGAAACATTGCACATTTAAATATTTGCTACTTAGTGTTGTAGTGTCCATCTAATGTAATTCTTTTTGACAATGTCTCATAGCTATCTTCTTGTTCTATGATCTTTCTTAGCTGCTTGCTTCCTTAGTTTTAGCAGTATCACAGTTTACTTTTTATGACAATATACTGCTTTAATTCTAAAAATACAAAGTATCTGTACACCATATGATTGACTAGAAATGGATGAAGCTGCAAGAAAAGGCAAGACTTCAGGTCCTGTATAACTTGATCATTATAAATGGTGTTAATTGATGGAAGAAGTAAACAGATTAAAATCCTAAACAAGGATACTTAAAATTTTTGTAAGAATGTGGAAAGATTCCAACATATGTGCCAAAACTGTTATATTTGTGCTATGCATTCAGCCAATTTGTTTATCCATATGTTTTATGTAGTTTACCTTGAAGGCTCCCAATTTAACTCTGGAGATAGCTAATCTGAAAGAGTGCATGCAGCTGTTGAACTGAAAGTCAGAAAGGATTAATGTCCAATTCATTCAAATTATTTGGCATTTTCCCAGTTGGGAAACTTTTAAAAATTTTATTCTCTGTTGGTAAATAAATATTCATTAAATTCCTTTTATATCTTATTTTACTAAATGGATTCTTTTTTCCTTCCAATTAGGTGCTAGAATTGGTATGAAGGGTTTACTCAAGTCAAATTGTACTTTATCCTGCTGAAATACATCTGCAGCTGACAATGAGAGAAGAAACAGAAAATGTCATGTGATGTCTCTCCCCAAAGTCATGGATTTTTTATTTGTTTTGAACATTTTTTCTTTTTCTCTTTTCCCTCCTTTATGACCTTTGGGACATTGGGAATACCCAGCCAACTCTCCACCATCAATGTAACTCCATGGACATTGCTGCTCTTGGTGGTGTGATTATCTAATTTTTGTGATAGGGAAACAAATTCTTTTGAATAAAAATGAATTTAAAAAACAATAAAAGTTTACTGAGCCACAGCTGAGCTTGGAAAATTTTTGTCAAATGCAGCAAGAGATAAGTCTTTTTAAGAAGTAGCATATGTGAACTAATAATTTATAAAGTTTCTATTTTCCTACCTCTTTGGAATTATGCTTATCAATGTAAACAAAATATAAAGTATATATTCCTGCCAGTGAATTTAATGTTTGCACTAGATGAAAAGATTACTTTATAAAATCTTTTCTTCTTTCTCTGACCAGATTTATATCATCAGCAAGTACCATGCTTTCCAGTCTCTCTAAATCTGGCCAAGTATCTAAAATTTTGACCTTTGAGACCACATTTAAACAGAAAGAGAATGTTAGTCTCTGACAGCTAGTCCTCTTTGCCTTTGAAATGTTACATAAACATACCATAAGCCCTAAATGTATACTAAGTCAACTAGTCATTGCTTTTGGCACCATCCTAGACTGAGTAATGACTTGGATCAGGAGTCAGTAAACTTTTTCTGTAAAGGGCCAGATTTATTTTAGGTTTTACAGGTCTTACAGTCAGTGTCACAACTGTTCAATTCTGCCAGTATAGCAGGAAGGCAGCCACAGACATATATGAACAAATGTGCATGGCTGGGAAGTAGGCAGAGGGTCAGATTTGGCCCACAGACAATAGTTCAAGTAGTCCTCTTGTCTTGTAGAGACAGGGTCTTACTACATTGCCTATACTGGTCTACAACTCCTTGGCCTCCCAAAGTACTGAGATTATAGATGTGAGCCACTGCACCCAGCCACAATTGGAGAATTTTATGAAGTTCTTATAAGAAGATTGAACTATTAAATATCAAAAAACTTACGGGACTGTGCTACGACTTCAGAAAGATTAGCCTGAACAATGAAGAAAAAAGTGGAGGAGCCCAGTACAATTGAGCCTTCTAGAAGATAACTGAGACCAAATTTGAATTTGGTCATAAAAGCAGTTAAAGGGAGGGGCTAAAGGGGATGGCATGATTGAATTTATGATGAATGGATAGATGGGGGCAAGAGTTGTGGGGACTTGGAGTAAGGTTGCAGCATAATCCAACCTAAAAGATTGTTTCAGCTAGTAGAGTTCACCACAGTCTTAATTCTTAATCATGGAAGGTTCTTAATTTTTAAAGTAATTGTCTTATAAGTTGTGACAACAAATAATGTAACTCAGCAAATTTATTTCTTTGGTGGTTATACAATCTTCAGCCAGCAGTAAGTCACTTGGGAAACTCACAGCCAAAATGTTCGTGAGCTATTTTTGGGGGACCAGTTCTCTAAGTCAGCAGATCTACAAACTCTTCAGCCCTGGTCCTAAATATAAAAATAATTACTCATTGCCTTTAATATAATTTTGCAGATGATACTGGGATCAGTAGAAGTCTAGGTACTTAGAAATTAAACATTAGGAGGTACTACCTTACATCTTGAGCCTATTATGTTACATGGCTAACATTAACACTTTACCAACAGTAGAAATTTGTTGGTCCTCCCAGAGCAGTTAGCTCACAAACCCACATGTGGCTTCTGGTTAATGTATTAGGCACTCCTGGACTTGGACTGAAGGGAAAATCATAGTGATATTTTAGAAATATGTGTTGAGCTCCCACTTTGTGCAGGGAACTGTGTACAATGTATATAGGGTATAAGTATCGTGATAGACATAATCTTTTAATGTACACTTGAAAAACAGTAGGGAGATTGAGGGCTAGGAGTAGAGGCAATTTTCGGGATTTTTGTGTGTGTGTGTGTGTGTGTGTGTGTGTGTGTGTGTGTGTGAGAGAGAGAGAGAGAGAGAGAGAGAGAGAGAGAGAGAGAGAATTAAGCTATAAGGCAAAAGAACATCTAAGACCAATGGAAGCAAATTTTTAAAGTCTGAGTAGCTCCCATGGCCAAATCTGGAAGAATTAGAACCCAAAGTATAAAATATCTGTGAATTCATGTTAATATAAACAAATGATTGAATAAATATATAGAGAAGAGACAAATTTTCCATGAAGAATTCCAAATAATTTATGTGATAAATTAAAGAAATGGAGCATAACTTTCCACTCCTTAAATATGGTCTCTAGTGACTTCTCTCCCAAAGAGTACGATATGGAAAAGGAGAAAAAAGTCAATTTACAATGGAAAAGGCTTACAAATAATACCTTGGACAGGTGATCAAGGTCAGCATCAAAAGTGGTAAGTCATGTTGATAGTTTATACTTTTGATACAATGTAGTGAAAAACAGCATTTTGACTCTGATCTTTCATCCAAAAATAACCCCATAACCCTGAGAAAAAAACCAGATTAATCCCTGTTGAGAGACAACCGACTATAGCAGGGGTCTCCTGAGTCTGACCTGCAGAGTCTGGCTGAGCAATGGATGAAAGGAGATCACAGACACAAGTGTCTTGCCTGTGAGAGTGCTGCTAGGGGACCTCATGGCTTACAGAACCGGCAGAGGGAGCCCGGCTGTGCAGCCCCTATATGCCAGAGATGCTTGTATTTATTTTAGAACAAATTTAATGGCAAAGGTCTCCAGCAAACACCATTTGTGGGTAATTAACATTGCTGACCCCCAAGTAGAGAGCAGTCATGCATGTGGATGATCAAAGGTCGGTTTTAGGGCAACATGAGTAAGTAAGCTTAGATAAATAAGTTTAGATAAACTCCTCTACATTCCCTTGTTATCTGTTCTTTGCTGTTAGCTCAAAGTAAAAGGATTAGGCTGTCTTCATCCATAACTCTTCCCCAAAGCTTTTGCAAAACCTTCCAAGAAGATTTATGTCTTTCCTATAATTTTTTCCCGCCATGCTGACTGATCTCCTACATCTCCCTCTTTTCTGTTTTTTGCATCTGGTTTTGTTGATTGAAGAGTACAGATGTGTGCAGCAACAGGTCTGTCATGTACACCGGTTATAACTCTTATTTTGGCTTTGCATTCCTAGAATTAGTAAATAACATAAGGCAAACATAAGTATAATCAGTAACATTTTTTTCCAATCAAGAAGTGACATGTAGTGTTTACTTGACACCTCAGTCCAATGTGTGCCGTTTCTGAGGGACCCCACCAGAGATATGTTAATCCTTTCTAGCCAGGCAGTTGCATCATTAGAGGCCGGGAAGGGAGTGTCTGCCTAAATAACAGGTGGAAAAGGGGCTCAATAGAGTGTAGAAGGTACAAGTTGCAGGCAAAACAAGAGAATAAAAAAAGAACAAATTATCTGGAGTGAATGGTGTTTGTGTTTGAAGCAGGATTCACTCAGCCTTCTGAATTGTCTTCTTTAGCATTCCCCAGGTAATATCTGGAGCTTGTGTCATTCAAGGAAGCCGCATTGTCTGGGGTGCAGGTCCTACAGGGCCATTTCCCTCATTACTGGTACCAGGTTGATTTCTAGCCATGCCATCGTAAGGTTTGATGCATCATGCTGGAATCCAAAGAGGGCCTGAGGGGCTGTGAATACAAGCATATCCTCTTCCCCATGTTAGCAAATCATTGGGACCACACCATACATTACTACTCACATCTTTCCAAACAACTGCATTTTGTATCTTGAGAGATTTTAGCAAAGTGCTTTCTATAGCTGGTTGGAATTTGTCATCTAAATTTAAGAAATTAAGAGTAAATAAGGCTTGTGCTTGTAGTGTTGCAGGGTCCTTACATTCCCCCTTTTTTATTTTCTAGAAAAGCATTAAAACATCAGATATGGGAAAATTTTAATAATCATTTAAGGTTGTGATTAAATGATAAAGTGATTTTGATAATCATTTAAGGTATGTAAGTTGCTAGTATTTATTTGAGATCTTACTGTTAGTATGTATCATACTGTTAGTATGTATCTAAGCTATTTCCAAAGAGAGGACATTTGCACTACCTTTGTAGGCAAAACTACAGGAGTGTGAGTTAAGAACTGAAGTAGTTTGTCAGCAGGAAGGGCATGCTTTATATGGCCTGCATAATCAGAGAGTGCTATCTGAAGATCTAGAGATAGAGGCAAGAACTGCGTGGAGTTGCTTTTTACTCAAAGGAATTCTTATGACATCAGGGTCATAACCTAGCAACTGATTGCATCATCTGTGGCCCATATGGATGACTTTACTAACTAGCTGGATATATAGAGAGAGTGTTTTAGTCCTGGTATGTGAGCAAAAAACCCATTCTAGGAAGCATGGTCCTGGGGCCATCTGTCCTATTAATCCTGTTGGGGAATGGATAGTAGGAAAAGTAAACAATTGAACTGAATATCCTGGGTCTATGTGTTCTAGTTGCCTCTGAGAAATAGCTTGCTCTATTTCCTCAATTTTCTTTTTGGCTGCAGGGATTAAATACCTGGGAGAATCCAGGACAGCATCGCCTTCTAAGATAGAAAACAGATTTTGCAACTTATCAGTAGTTATGCTCAAGGTGGGGCGAAGCCAGTTAATATTGCCCAGTAATTTTTGATAATCATCTAAGGTATGTAAGTTGCTAGTATTTAACCTTTTGAAATCTTACTAACTGGGAAATTAGTATGTATCCAAGATATTTCCAAGGAGAGGACATTTGCACTTTTTCAGATGCCATGATTAAACCTCTTAGCTGTGTATTCCCGTGGCTTACAGACCCTGAAGAGGGAGTCTGGCCATGCAGCCCCGATATACGAGAGACGCTCCTATTTATTTTAGAACAGATTTCATGGCAAACATTTCCAGCAAACACCATTTGTGGGTAATTAACATTGTCGACCCCCAAGTAGAGAGCCATCGTGTGTGGATGATCAAAGGTTGGTTTTAGGACAACATGAGTAAACAAGCTATTTAGATAAACTCCTCTACATTCCCTTGTTATCTGCTCTTTGCTATTAGCTCAAAGTAAGAGGATTAGGCTGTCTTCAGCCATAATTATTTCCTGAAGCTTTTGTAAAATCTTCCTGTCTTCCAAGAAGGTTTATGTCTTTCCTATGATTTTTTCCCACCACCCTGACAGATCTCCCACAGGGATCACCAACCCGCAGGCTGCAGACTGGTACCAGTCTGTTAAGAACCAGGCTAC